TGCAGATGTGCATTTATCATAGGACTTCCTGTTGCAGATGCGGGGGGTTAAGTCACGAGTGACTCAGAGCCCTCACAGGCTCGAGTTCCTCCAGTGATCTGGGTTGCATAGGCCTTGGGCAATGGCCACTCCAAGATGCTTCTGCTTTTTGCTGGGCTGTCCACAGTGTCGGCCGGCGAAGACGATGCCGGCAAGTGAAGCTCCCAGGCTGCCCAGGCCTGTCCCTCAGGCGACCCCTAGCGTCTTGCAGCCTCTTAGTCGGCCTCTCGAGCATGCAGACGCGGTGAAACAGCAGAAGGTTGAGAAGGGCAAGAAGTGCAAAGCACCCCGTGGTGGCAACATTGCCGCCAAACCTAAAGCCTCTCAAAGGAAGTCCATCAAGGAGGCCTCTCAAACGAAGTCCATCAACGAGGCACAGAGCTGCAGTGGCCAATCAGCAGAGATCCATAGTTGCACTAGTCACATGTGGTAGCACTTTTCCATGCACACTTGCAACTATGCATGTTTATTGTGCTGCTCATGGATAGATTCTAAGGTTGGGCGTGCATGGTTTCGTGCACGACATCGCCGGCCAACCGATCACAGAAAAAAAGCTTGTGGAAGTCTTTGCTGGCTCCTGCCGTCTCTCCCGTGCAGTTGCAGCCGTTGGCATTCCTGTGGAATCCTTCGAAAGGGAGCGTGGCCTCTCCGAGGCAGCACAATATCACAACACACCCAGCTCCCTGTAAGAAAGCCCCGCCAAAAGACCCAACTCGGCCAGAAATGAGAACAGGACGTACTCCACCCGGAGAACATGGAGATGCTGAAGTCGCGCATCCGGGACAAGCAGGTGCTTGCAGTATGGCTAAGTCCCGAGTGCCGGTCGTTTACAAAGGCACGGCGTGGCAAACGGACTGGCCTCTCCAAGAAAGGCTTTCCAGGTCCGGTCCGTGGTCATGGATGTGTCCTGGGCCTTCCAGGTCTCTCCATCAAAGACCAGCAGAAGGTCAGGTCGTGCCGCTAGACAACTAACACTTGTCTGAAATCCCCGGCAAATTGTCCCTTCCCTTTCAGGTGGATCACGGCAATAAGTCAGCCAACGCCTGCATCGAGTTCATCGAGGAGTGCATCTTGTCCAACACACCGGTCTTCCTCGAGAACCCACAGAGATCCTGGCTTTGGTCGTTTCCTGGGCTCTCCGAGCTTCTGTGTCTTAGCCGCATAATAAAAACCGAGCACACAGACAATGACATAACAGCCCAGTTGTCATGGTTTCCCAGGACCAAGGACGAATGTAAGATGGAGCTTTTCCACTGCTGCCGCTATGGCGAAAAGTGGAAGAAGGCAACCTTTGTGGCAGCTAGGCTTTCAAGTCCATGCAGTTGTCTTCTACGGAACACATGTTCCTAAAATGGAAACATGACATGCATATCTTGTTTGAGGCAACGTGGTGCGCGCGGCCTCTCCAAGTGTCCAAGTATTTCCTGCAATGCAGGGGCCGCCTTTGCCAGGTCACCGGTGCAAAGCACCAGTCTCTGATTGGTCTCAGCAAGCAGAGGGGTGCTGATAAGACTTGGAGCACAGCGCAGGCCCAATCTTATCCTTTGAAGTTTTGCAAACATTTCGCAAAGGCACTTGTGGCTGCCCTAAAGCAGACCTGATCTTTGCAAGGGGGAGAGGCCTTTTAGACCATGACACTTATCCACACATGCAAGGCACTTCGGACTGCAGGAAAGCAACAAGGATCTTTCCAAGGGCGAGAGGCCTCTCACATCCATGATACTTTGCCAGGGGAGAATGGCATTCACAGGCTTGAACACTGTGGAATGGAAAAAGAGCTCCTGTTGGCATCGACTTGCAGCAAGAACACAAGGTAGGCATGAGCTGCACAGTCCAAGCTGTGGTGTGAAACTCATAAGTCGTCTTTGCTTGTCCCCAGAGGACAAACACAAAGTGCCACTGCAGGTATTCGGGCTCCCCACATTGCAGCAAGATCAGAAGGTAGGCATGACATGCACAGTCCAAGCCAGGGCCTTGTGGTGTGAAACTCATAAGTCGTCTTTGCTTGTGCCCGGAGCACAAACACAAAGTGCCGCTGCAGCTCTTGCGGAATCTCCTGGCCATGGCGCTGGAGACAATAGGCTGCTACGATTGCAGCACTTTCAGGGCCGTCCCCTTCGACTTTACGGCTACCTTCCAGGCCCTGAAAGCAGCGCCCGATGCTTCTAAGATTGACCATGGTGTTCTGCAGACAAACATCACACAGAGTATTGGAAATGCAGTCTGTTCAAACATTTAGACTGAATCTGAGGCTGCAAGCGTCAGCGATCTTCCCAAGAGTGTGGATCTGCGGGCATTCTCGCAACAATATGGCACACGGCTGTCCGGGCCGAACCTCAGTCAAGCTGAGCTGTTCCTTGAAGATTTCAAAGATACTTTTGACAAGTCTTTGGCCACTCAGCTTCAACAGGTGAAGCTGCAAGAGTCTGTTGTTGAGTTCTTTTTTTGCTGCTTCTACAGATAGTCGTCTGTAAGGTGGGGGTCTTCCCTCTGCCTGCCTCACGAGACGGCCACCCGTATGTAGCACCTGACGGCAAGTTGCCAATGCCGAAGATGGCCACGATGAGACTCGTCTCTTGAGCCCGCTTGCATTTGTAGTGTGTGGAATCTGCACGAGTCTGCCTCTGGACTGGTCAGGACGGCGCTTTGGTCTCTCCAAAAACAGATCGAGGCCGAAGATGGCGGGCCCTCCCAAGATGACGGGCCCTCCAAGGCGTGGAGGGCCAAGGGCGAGATCGTGGCCTTTCTGGGGGCACCGGTCCCTGTCATTTGGGTGACCGTGAACTCGTTCGCGGAATACCTAGTGCGCCTGTGTGGCGCAGAAGAGAAGAAGGACAAGCAGAAGAAAATGGCCCTCTTGGACGGCGCCCTCGCCTACTTGGCCATCCTGAACAACGAGGGCAGTGAGGAAAGGGCCATCAAGGTGTATCAGGAGGCCCTCCGCCTCCAGAAAGCAGATGCAAAACGCAGGCCAGATCAGAGAATAGCCACTTCTGGACACTTGTCTTCAATTAGACAGCGACGCATGGTTTTGTGGAACGGAGGTACTCAGAAATGAGCTACATCCTCAAGCACCTGGACACCGAAGCCCTCAGGATGCTGGCACACTGGCGCCAGGGGGCCCACTACTTGATCGCCAACATCTTCAAGGACACCTTGGCATTTGCCACATGTCTAGGGTAAAGCAGTACCAGAAGAGAAGCCGAGATGTCGTATGAGAATTTGGTGCATGCCACAGTTAGCAAAATCAGCATCCAGTATGGGATACACCCAAGCAGAGTTCTAGCTCACACGAGGTTCCCTGCATGGATTCCTGGCTAGAAAGCCAGGTAACAGTAGTTAAGCAGATGTCATTCAACATGTGTCACAAGGACAGCTGGTTGACTTCAAAGGCCCTCGCGGACATCAAAAACACGCGCATCCAGGATCCCTCCAAGAGTGGTACTTCTGAGGTCTCTCTGCAGGTGACGGCTGTCAAGTACATCCTCAAGAAGCTGGACACGGTCTCTCACAATGACGAACCCTGGCCGCATATATTTAGTTGCATGTGCATGCAACAGTACTAAGAACTTAAACATTAGCTGCCATTGCACCACAATCAAGTAGAGAGACAGCAATGCTACATCTCAGACCAAAGTCATCGACACCGTGGGCATCACCAAAGAGAAGGTGTCCAAGGTGGCGACGGCCCTCGGTGACACCTTCAAATTCCTGGAGGCCCTCCGCATCAAATTCGAAAGCGTCTGGCACGCTGTGCCGATGGCCTCTCAAATCTTCCGGCGCACATTGATCGATGCGGACCTCAACCTGATCTCCAACCTGGAAGGACATTCGGGAGCAGTATTCAAGCAATAAATCAGACAATGCTCGTTTTCAGCAGCTTCTCCTGATAGGATGGGCGGCCTCGCGACACATCTCCAAGGACCTCGACAACGAGTCCATGGGCTACGAGTATGCGGCAATGATTTCGCAGCTTGAAAAAGCACACACAAACATGGTGCAGGCAGCGAAAGCAAAAGCCGAGGAGGCTCGACGAAAAGCAGAGGAGGAACGGCGGAAACAGGAGGAGGAACAAAAGAAAAGGGATGCAGAGGTCGCAGCTTTGGAAAACAAGGCCTGCAGTATGCTTTGCCAATCAGAGTCATTTTTCATTTCCAGGACCTCCCTCGACCAATGCGTCCTAGAGACCCTGCACAGGACATGGCTGTGGATGAGCTCGTCAAGGAACGGCTCGAGAGGGTGCAAGAGGCCATCCAGGACATGGAGGTGGATGATGTTGGCGAATCCGAGAAGAAGCCCGCCGTGCCGGCCAAGAGTGACGAGGAACTCTTGAAGGATGCAGCCATGGCCAAAACCAGAGCAATTTTTGACGCGACCGTCCTGCCATGTGACGCAGCTTATCCCCCACCGACCGAGGCATCATGGCATGTATGGCATTAGCATAGACGGATGTCTCAAGTCAATATCATCCTCCCAAGTTTGCCTTGCTGCTTCTGACAGGTTCTCTCCGCAAAAAGCAGGCTTTGGGTCATCCCAACAGTTGGCCAAAGGCGTGGGCCACACAAGTTCGGTAAGAGCCGCTGTGTCTGCAGTGTGATTCATTGATTCGTCACCCCATAGCGTTTCCTTGCATGACTGAAAAAGTCTCACAACCCAGAACGGCCGAGGCTTGCCACCCATCAATTGGGGCCGTCTTGGGTGGCCAGAAAGCCTGAACGAGGGGGACATAGTCATCGCACTCCTGGGTCACGACCCATCCATCGAGACGGCCACTCGTGATAAGATCAAGAGTTGGTGCAAAGGAGATATGAAGTGGCTGACGCCTGTGAGGCGCCAATCCGTCATAGTTGGGGATTCTCTTGTTTGAACGCTTCTCCACAGGCATGCTTGTGCACAGGACCTTGATTCAGTCCTCGGGCAAAACGTGCTACGTGGAGTTTATACTCATCGGGCATATGCCGAATGTCAATCCAGAAGCACTGGAACTTTTGCAGTCCACCACAAATTTCCAGACAATGGATGCCTATCCGCACGTGGATCTGCGACGTCCGGTGCCGTGGGCTGCATCTGTTGACGATAAGTTCAAGTCATTGCTTCATTTTTTGATGCCCCAGCAAGCATGGAAACACAACTGGCAGGTCTGCGCATGTGCGGGGGATGAGGAGATGAAAGCGTGCCCCCACCTGACCTTTGTGGTCAATCGCACTATCTCCTTGAGATCGAATTCGGAGATGAATCTTGGACTGTGGACCAGAACTGCCAGAACTGTTCAGTCAAATAATTGAATCCCATAACCCCCACGTGCATGGCTCGAAGTAAAATCCTGAACACCCTGCCAATCCGGGGACTCATGTCCAATCCTTAAAGCCATGAGGAAGCCAGACTGCGCGACGGAGACGAATGAGGCAGATTCGGCAGATGTCGAGCTTGAGAGTTTGGCCGAAAACGAGAAGAAAACGAACCCACATGTGTTTGGCCAATCGGAGATATTCTTCCAGAAACTCTTCGAGCACCTCACGCCCACTTGTGTCATCCTGCCGGCCACCGCACCTGTCCCTGGCCTCTGCATGGGCTTGTGCCTTGGCTACCTCGAATGATGGGAGGAAGCGAGTGCTTTGGAAATGACTTTCATGACATGCACTTCTGTTTGCCGTGTTGTCCTCCAGTCAGTCTCAGGCTCCTCTACAACCAGACCCGCCTGGCCAGTGGCGCTGAATGTGCCATTCTGGCATTGCCGTTGGATTTGGCTCCTCCGAAGCGGGCCAGGCTGCACAATGCAGCCACAAGCTTGTCCAGAGTTCCTGGGTACTGGTTTCAGGGAATATTACACGTCTATCTTTCGCGGTAACCTACTATTCATGAATAATTCCCAATGGCTTTGAAGCAGAACACAGGTTCGGAGTCACTGGGTTGAGACTCGTGTGGGTGACATGCTGGCGGCGCGCAAGAAAGCCGGAGCATCTACGGAGGACAAAAAGAAGAAAGAGCGACAGCTTCAGAGGGTCGAGTCCGCGCCGGACGAGCACATCGACCGTTTCGTGGTGCACAAGTATGTGATTCCCCCACAGGACCTGGGCCCTCCCCATGGTGAGTCCGACTCCGATGGCGACGAGGGCGACGTTTCCAGCTGCGTGACACCAGAGGTGGTGTCCCGCAGGATGCATTCGGCCATGACCAAGACCGGTGTGGCCATCAAGACCTCGCCAGGCAGTGAAGTGGCAGGCCTTGGCATGATCGCGGAGGTCGCTCTCAAGAAGGGATACGAAATCCCTGTGCGTGGGTCATGGCCTGAGTAAATCCGCAAGTCGTCGGTTAAAGGGTCTGTAAAAGCGTGAGACCATAATAATCCTCAGCAATCCCAGGCCTGTCTACAAGGACCTTGAGAACGCTCTGAGCTTCACCACCAGGAATCCGACATACCAGGACAAGATCCTTAAGTTCCTGAGCTTCAGTGTGCCATACTTTAATCTTGTCTTATGGGAACCATTATGAAATGAAAGTCTATACTAGTTCTCCCTGGTTACTTCAAAGCCCAGGTTCTATGTTGGAGCCGAAGGCGACCATGGCGGGCCTCTCGCGCACTACATCGTCCAAACCGGTCTCTCTGGCTTTTGCAACCACTTCGCAGGCCTCTCCCGGCAGGGGAATGTGAAGCTTGTGGCCTATCCCAAACGGGGCTTGGGCGACAAGCTCTTCGTGCTGTAGCTGAGCAGATTTATTTCCATGTTCGGTTGGCAAGTGTCTGTGGCTTATTCTAGAAAGGTGCGAGTCTATGCTTCTTTTTCTCCAACCCAAGGCAAGTGACACGCACAATCACACCCGGCACAGAGATCGTCATGAACTACAACACCGTGCCGTGGTTTCCTCTTGCAGAGCTGCCGAAAACTATCCCGAAGCCCAAGGCACGGAAATCAAAGGGCAAAGCCAAGAAGGCTGAAGCCGAAGAGAGCATGTCCGAGGAAGACGATTTTGCTGGTGCTGGGAAAAAGCAGGCACCCGCTGAGTCCAGCGACCCACCTCCGGTCCAGGAAGCTCCTTGTCAGGAACCAGCACCCAAACATAAACTTTTGGTTGGTTTATTCCTTAAAGGGGATTTTTCCATATCCCAACCTGATGGTTTTTGTTTGGCTGCTTTTTTGGGTCCCTACCTGATACTCCAGGACGCTCCAGGTCATCTCCAGCAGGAAGACCCAGCTGCGCTCCAGGACGCTCGAGATCATCTTCAGCCTGAGAAGCCACAGATGGACGACACCGCCTCCCAGCCACCTAGCCCTCCGGATGCAAGTCCTTTCCAGGCCCTCAAGGAGATGTTGGGGAGGCCCAAGAAGAAGACCAGATCTGAGTCGATGAAGGCTGCCCCGGCGAAGCCCAAGCGCAAGGCCAAGGCAAGCAACAAGCGCAAGCGTGAAGAAGTGGAGATCAGCGACAGTGAGACTGAGAATGCCGAGGCAGCGGAGAAACCCGAGTCACCCACATCAGTGGTCAGTTCGGACGACGGATCCAAAGAGGCTGATCACGAGGACAAGTGAGAGGCCACTCCTCCTTCGGAAGTAATGGCAAATTTTGAACTAAGACTGGACAGACAAAAATGCTACAATTTTGCGCAGGCTGACGAAGGAGACAAGAGGTAAGTGCTTCCCTCATGATGTGGACTAAAAGGCCTGTCCTCTAGTCCCTGCACCAGTGACTGCTGCGCCTTGTGAGGAAAAGTGTGTGCCAACAGCTGCCCTGAGAGACTTCGCCTTGATACTGACCGAGCCAAGTGTGCATGTCTGGTTTCAAATTGAAACAACTTGCCCAGGTCATCTTCCTTGGTCGTGGAGCCATCCATCGTGGACATTTGGGAGCAGGCAGGCAATCGTGCTCACAGGGACGATTTCGGCTGACAGTGCATGCAGGTCGTCATCCATCAAAAGGTGCTGCCAGAACACGCCAAGCAAGTTAACAGCGCAAATAGACAAGAGCATGGGCCCATGCCGCCGATTGCTGCAGCTTAGGCTTCAAATTTGACATGTGCCATTGTATCCGGAAGGGTTTCTCACATGAACCGGACTAGGTCAGCTTATCAGTTTATGTGCTTTCAATTCCATGCTGAGGTTCCTGTCCATCATGTTTCAGGGTCAAGACTCAGAGCAATGATTTCTGCCAGCACATTTGGCCTGCAGCCACAATGGCATTCCAACCCACGGTTCTTGACACAAAAGTGTTCCTGGCCGACGGGTCCGTGGAGCATGTGGCATGGAAAGCCTGGCCCTCTCCGGATGCTTCACATGAAACAAACAAATAAATGCGGTTCCTTGTGTTCGTTTTGATCCAGTGACGCCAGCAGATTGCGGTAGCACACAAGTCTATTTAGTTGACGAAAACATGCACTTCTTGTGTAAGGATGGCCAATGTCTGAGATGGGAAACACGCCGTGTTTTGCCAACCATTGGGTTCGTGGAGCGCAGCGATAAAACGAAAGTATGCAGGGTCGTCCAACAGCAGTGGGACAAGTGGATTGCATTGTTGAAGCGATATGGTTTCAAGAAATGCATTGGCCGATCTGAGAACAGCATGCTCAGTCGAAATCGCGCGAACCCCAATGTAGTGAAGGACCCGCGCTGATCCAGAATGGTTGTACTTTTCTTATAGGGGGGGAGGGGGCACGCACATACAATCAAGTATCCCTGGACAGGACACTCGAGACAGTGATGGTGTAGAGAGCGACGATGTTGAGCAGGAATTCTGGTGTGGGACCAATGCGCTGTTTGCATTGCTGCAAATGTGGGAAACAGATCGACGTGACAAGGGTATGCGTCAACGCGCCCGGTCAATCAACTTGGCCGTGCTGCAGACCTGCATTCCTCCAGGACCTTGGCTTCAGAAACTGGAGGCCTCTCTGGTGCCCACGCCCAGAATACAACATGAATGCCAAATCCTTCCAAACAGCACAGGGACATGCATATGTCATTGGCCTGCCATTCATCAATGTTCTGTAAGTTCAGCCGTCGAAGGCCAGGGTTTTTTTTGAAGTCTGGTTCAGGGGTTTGTAGCTTGTCTGTATGACGACAGCGTCCACTAGGACACAGACGACGACAGCGTCGGTAAGGACACAGACGACGACAGCGTCCGTTAGGACGCAGACGACGACAGCGTCCGTTAGGACGCAAACGACGAGAGCGTCCGTTAGGACCCAGACGACGAGAGCGTCCGTTAGGATGCAGACGACGAGAGCGTCCGTTAGGATGCAGACGACGAGAGCGTCCGTTAGGACACAGACGACGACAGCATCGGTAAGGACACAGACGACGACAGCGTCCGTTAGGACGCAAACGACGAGAGCGTCCGTTAGGACCCAGACGACGAGAGCGTCCGTTAGGATGCAGACGACGAGAGCGTCCGTTAGGATGCAGACGACGAGAGCGTCCGTTAGGACACAGACGACGACAGCATCGGTAAGGACACAGACGACGACAGCGTCCGTTAGGACGCAAACGACGAGAGCGTCCGTTAGGACCCAGACGACGAGAGCGTCCGTTAGGATGCAGACGACGAGAGCGTCCGTTAGGACACAGACGACGACAGCATCGGTAAGGACACAGACGACGACAGCATCCGTTAGGATGCAGACGACGACAGCGTCCGTTAGGACGCAAACGACGCTGAACCGTAAACTCTCAACCCCGAACCACAATCCCTAAACCCGGAAACTTAAGCTCTAAAATCTGAACTTTCAGGCCTGAACCCTAAACCGTCAACCCTAACAACCTGAGAAATGGGAGTTTCGGAAAGGATCCCTCTACAGGGAGCACCCTACTTTTGCGAAAATCTTAGAGTGTTCCATAGCTGCCATACCTTTGGTCCCTCCTGCCTACTCATGGGTCTGCCGAGGCTGCCAGACAGCTCGCCAAAGAGCGGCTGACGTGCTCAAGGACGTCAACATGCCCATGCACGAAATGGCTTGGCAGCTCCTCCATGTGTTGAGTGAGGTGTCCTGTCCTGCAGTTGGCCTCCTCACTGGGCGGCTCATCAACCAGATTGCAGAGCTGGTGGAAGAAAATTTCGACAGTAGCTTGGCTTTGCACATGCCGATTGTCACCCCGGCCATTCTCCACATGTGTGGTTTGTTTTGTGTAAGTGTGCCTCCATTCAAGGCTGGAAATGCAAGGACTTCCTGAAGAACCCCGCTTTATCACTTACAACAGAGTCCTCTAACAAGCGGAAGCGTGTGGACCCACACATGAAGAAGGCAGCCATCGAGACCGCGCTTCAGGACGACTGTGTCTTTACTGTTCACTTCTGAAGACATGTCTTCATCCCAACACCCTAATATGTAACACCCCACGTCCTACAAACAAATCTAACAGAAGAAACAAACCATTCCTACTGTTCGTGGCCATCAACATCACTGCATTTATTTGTGGCGTGGCACCTGTTCCCAAATGTTAGGTCACACCAGCCCCCCGATCACTAAGTCGACGCAGACCTTAGGTTTAGGTCAGATCGGACTTGACCCCAACCGTTAGGTCACACCCGGGCCCGACTGTGGTTTCTGCGGGATTTCTGGGAATCTATATATGTTTACATTAGGGCTGGCATTTAATATCACACAGTGGGGTTGATTTCCAGGAGTGCGCTGAAGTGAAGTGTTTCTCACTCAGACAGAAGTCACCATTATGCGACGAAGTTTCCGAAAGGATGGCAGAGCCAAGCGGACCTCGCAATTGCTGCAGACATTGCAGCTCGGAGATTTGTCACAAGGAGCTCGCTGGATGGAAGAGCAATTGGCGCAACTTTCGGTAGGGTGCAGCCAAAACTAGTTGCACGTCTCCCTCCAGAGAACATGGCCTTAAAGTAGATCCAGGTTTAACATGCAGACATGTTCACCTGCAGGCGGCCTCTCGTTTTGCCTTCCAGAAGCCCGGCGTCCTTTCACTGTGTTTCGACGCAGCGGCCATCGGCAAACCAAGCAAAGATGTCCTGCTTTTGTGCCAATGGTCCCTGACGGCTTCTTGCGGCTTGGTCCTCCCTCCGCAAGAGTTAAAGGTCAAGCGGGCAGACATTGAGAAGGCCGAGAAGATGCAACCACCAATCCTCTTCGTGGACAATCCGTTAGAGGAGTACCTGGCCCATCCCGGTCAAGCGCCTGAGGAGCGTAAAGTGAACCTCGAGTACCTCATAGCAGTGGATTCGGCGTTGTCACGGAGCAACAACTTTGGTCTCTCAGCCTTTCTTCCCACGCGCACGGTGGGTGGGCTTCCGCTGGGGGCAAAGCGCTACTTCGTGTTGCAAGAGTGCAAGTTCAGTGGCCATCCACGACACCGAGAGCCTCAGCTGATTTAAATTATGCGGTTGATGGACAAAATCCTGCATGACCTTTAGGACTTTAGGACCCTTTAGGCCCTAAACTATGGAAGCGATGGCATATTCCTTGTAATGGGTAATGCAGGAAAACAGTGAGCGGCATGGTTGTCATCTGATAAGTCTCACACAAAACAAACCGGAAGTAGTGACAGCAACAAGTACATGATGATGTTCATGATCATCATCATCATCGTCTGGTGACTAGCCTGTCGAAGCTGGCCACATTTTGCTTGGAGTTAGATGCATGCATGAAGAATTTAACAGACTAACCAAGGCCTGCGTTGAGTTGCAAGACAAGACCAGGTTCTATGAGGTGCCTTTGAGGATGGAGGGAAAGGAGGTCATCCGGCCTACTCTTCATCTTTGTCAGGACTGTCGACCCCTTAAAAACAACTATAGGATCAATTGTTTCTTGTGGATGTAGAAAAATGCAGTGCAGTATGTGGCACACGAAGGACATGGGTGCATCCGGGTGGTACGCAGGCATCTTTCTCATGAACGGAATGAAGATCCGGGGAACCGTGTCCTTTGACATTTTCCACCGCCTTCAATGTGACGTTCAAGATGCTGCTGCAGAGGCTGGTCTGGAGCTTGCCCGTCTGGAAGCGGCGGCAGTGTGTGCGGTGCGACGTGGCCCGTACCCTGTCCTTCATTGAACCATGTACTGGTTTCAGTTTATCGTAAACAGGATTTGAACATTCATTAACTGGCGTAGGACACCCTCTATTAACCGTCGTGTTCCAAGAGGCCATGTGGAAATCGAAGATGCAAAGATGCCACACACACACAAGCTCGGCCCAGGTACGCCACTGATGGCCATCACCAGACGCTGCTCCAGGCCTCTCGCGATCTCGCTGCAGTGCCCGTGCCCAACTCGTTCCTCAACATCTTCTATGGTTGCACAGCTGCACATGACGACACAGGGTTGTACTGAACTATGTGGAGCCATGTGGCATGGTTTGGGTTGAGGCTCTAGTTCATGGCCTGTGCTGTTGTTCTGGATTGTAGATCAGGTCTACACTGTGTCAGTTAGCTTAGGCGATCTCTGCTGTGACTTCCGACTGGTGCCACAGGGCACTGAGGAACACAGGATGTGGGTCTGGAAACAGATGTTGAGCAATCTCTTGCACCTTGTTTGCCATTGGAATTTGTGAGATGTTTTAGACTTTCCCTTGAGATTTCG